TAGCTACATCTTCCTACAACGACAATCTACAAGTGTGAAGCTTGGACTTCTGAATGTTGCATGAGCAGAGCAAAAACGCCATGAAGCGGCGAGCTTTGAGGCCTCGCGATGCGGCTTCTAACATGCTGACCCATTCAAACTCCAGTTGCATCAGCCCCTGCTAGTCGTGTGATACACTCCTCGGGAATTCTATAACACGCGTGTTGTTACCGCTTTCTGTCGCCGGGCCGACCCAAAACTAGAAACCTCATCGACAGGAGTTCCCAGAGAAGGCCCGCCTAAAGCGAAATGTGCTCCATTGCCATTGCTATCTCCACTTTGACATGGGGAAGCTTTCAATGAAGTGAAGACATGGGCGACATAGGAGGCCTTTAGGCCACTCCTATCTAGAACGGAGCAGCCAAATCCTGCGACTTGATGACTTTTGAGTTCACTTTGCTGTTGTTGCTGTTTGCTGCAGAAACCCCACGTGACGCGGAGTCAGTACTGAAAGTCCGACGTCGAAAAGGGCCACGACCGCCATGGGAAGGCAGCGAAGCAGGGAAGGGGTCGGGCGACCCGTCAGGCCAACTTTTTGCAGCCGTATGTGAAGTGCGTGCCAAAAGAAGAACCCGGGGAGCGGGGCACTCAGATGACGGCATGCGAGATCAGGATAAAGACTTCTAGAGATGCATACGGTCCGGACAAAGCCAGCGATGATAAATAGCTTGGACAAGCACGGTCCAAGCGCGAGACACCATCTCCCATCATCTCATATTCGCCTTCAACCGAAACGAACGAGTCACAATCCCTGTATCTCTGAGCTAGTCACCGAAAGCCCCTCTGTCCCTATGGAACGCCATTCATAAATCGCAAGGAATGCATCAGTGGTCACCGTGAGTGCAAACCAAGGTTCGTTGTACTTCTGGTGCCTCGTCAGCGTTCGGTTTAGGCATGACCATGCTTGATATTTGCAGGGGGTCTTCACGACTGTCTAGGCCGTAGGCAGCTGCAGCTGATGACAAACAATGACATCTGCAAATGCAGAGGGGGTTATTTTCGCGAAGACGATGCCTGACGACTTCGGGAGCCATGTATAGCCAACTGCCAACTCCACCGGTCATGATGTAGACGTCACCCACCACTGCTGCCCTTAGTGCCAACATCCTCATGTCTCTGCTATGCCAACCGAAGCCGGGAGCTCAACGTGTTCCCTCCAGCAGCGAGTGATCTTGTGACTCGCGTCCTAAAGGTTAACCAAGGCTCATCATCTTGGAGATGCCAAGGTCTGCTATCTTGACTTCGCCGTGTCTCGTCCTCAGTAGCTTTGACCCTACTGGTGGCTGCAAGCTCCGAGGCTCGATCACACATCGCAAGCGTCTTTACAGGCGTGACATGGTTGAGCTTAGTTGAAGGTGAGCTGCAGCAGCAGGTTTAGCGGCTTGAGGTCTCGATGAACGATGGGCTCCTCCCCTTGCCAAAGCTGACCGGGTGCCAACATATGAAAGTGTACAGAGTTCCAACTCCACGGCTTCACAACGGTAGGCCCAGGTGCGCGAGTGCAGGAAGCTGAGCCCACGGGCAACCGCCTGTAGCTCTGGTTTCGTCATTCGTCCCCAAGAGTACCAATCTATAATCTATGAGGAAGTTCGCATTTTCTACTCCAGGCTCGATGTGAACTCACTTGAAAGGGAACTCAAGCACAGAGCTTGCCAGCAGCCAGGAGCGGCCGCGAGCCATTCACTGCCGAGGAGCTAAACTCCAATCCATAACTTGTCGGAATTGCGGTCGCCAGGTCGGTGTCTGATGCTTCTTTCGCATGGTCTCAGTGTGACAAAAGCTTCTCGCTTTTGTCGGGAGGGCCGTAGCCTCCTTGCTCGCTCTTTCTCTTTCTTTCTTGCTTTATTTCGCCTCAGGGTTTCACGCTAGCTGCTTAAGACTGTCAGAGGCTGTCCTTCTCTCTGCATCTTTTGAAACCATTGAACGATTAAGTGCCTCAAACCGTGTGTCCATAATCAATCGAGATCGGGTGATACAATGCAAACATGTCACCCACGGACTTCTTCACTACTTCCGTGCCGTCCGATGCTCGTTTGGCCGGCTACAACTCACGGTTCATTTTGGACAAGTCACCATGAAGTGACGCTCCAGATCTCCACCGGGCATGTACTCTGTGACGCACATGACAGGAGCGTCCTGTTGGCACAAAAAGAATGTGGTCGGCCAGTGTCTGTCGCACCCCCCTCTCTGCGTTGGTGTGTTGGGGAAGCAAATTCGTTGAGCCGGCCCTGGATTCATTGCTTGGCAAGCTGACGTCTGCGCCAAGGCCCTTGGCATGAGTCCACCCGGACGAACCATCATACTGTCACGGAAGCCGCTCCCAACATGCAGGAACTACGAGTCCTTGTCCAAGCAGGCCCCTATGAACCTGAAATCAAAGATGTGATGGGAGCGTGCTCGTCCATGTGTGCTGAAACATCTCGTGTCTCATGTTTTGCGAAATGCAATGCGCAAACTTGCACATGGAGCACGGTGCTTTGGCGATTTCAGGTGCAGGCAAGGAGCAGGACCAAGTTTGGGTGCCGCAAGGAGGAAAGAAGTTCGATCTCGTGCAGCAATTCTTCTAAGAGATCCTGCAACAGCTCTGTTAAAACAACGGGGCCTTTCGAGATTTCACACAGATTTGGTATGAACCCGCTTTTATGAAGTGTGGCGCCACCGGTACCCTTTTGATACGACACACTGAGCCTAATCCTTTGTTTGGCCCCTCTGGCCGGAAGGCCTACCCCCATGACTCGCAACAGTCTCGGAAATGGCGTTTCACTGACTGTCTCCCTCTCTCTTTCTGTCTTTGGGCAGGGGGACAGGGATTCCGCTCCCCCTCCGCTCCAGCGCACCCCTTTTGGAGCGAAATGACAGCGAAACGCCAGCACGTAAAAGGCACATCATGCTGACCTGGGCTCACAGTTCGCTCTCCCCATTACTTCCTTATATACAGTTCCCTCAAAAAACAGCCTCAGAAACGACGTAGTCAAGTACAGCCCGGGGAAGCCCTCACGGACTGCGCAGCTGTGTGACTGGGCCGGCTTTGCAAGACCCCTCCCCCAGATTCCCCCAGTCCGCCGTCGTCCCCAGCGGCGATTGTCGACCCTGCTCCATGGCCAGGTCAAAACGAGTTGGGGTGTGACGCGACTGCCATCTAATTTCCTCAGACAAAAGGCCCCCCTCTTTTCCACAACCTGTTAACTTGAGCTGAAGCGGGGCAGAGCTGAATCAACTTGGAACGACTGTTTGGACAGAGAAGGGTTTCTGGTTGAACTTGAAAATGGGGCAAGGGAGCATCTCGTCTGAGAAACGGAAACAAGCGGTACCAGACACCGACTTCGGAGGCTCCCACCGATCTTCAGGCAGGTTAACGGTGGCTCTGGTATGCTGGTGGCCGTTGTGCATGTGCACTCAAACAAAGTAACACAAAGCCGGGCCCTCCTACAGCTCTCACGCTAAGCTCCCTCGCAGTCACTGTCGTCGGTGCGGTAGGACGCTGGTGCCCTTCGGCGTGCCCCCCGCGGACTGAAGTTTCGGCGTCTCCCCCGACGGGCTGCTTCCATCTGTTCTGCTTCCCAATGCAACCGCGCTCTTCCACGCTCTCTCATGTTCCGCTTCTTCTGCTGCAACCGCTATTTCCTGTGCCGACGGCTCTCACGCTGCGGGCTCTCTTTCTTTCGCCAGGGCTGGGGACAAGAGGGGAGACCCCAATGCCCGCGCGATCGCGGCCCCCGGCAGTTGCGGGCACCAGAAAGCCACTGCACTCACCCTCAAAGGCTGGGGCAAACACAAGAAGACAACATGAAATCTGCAAAACAAGAATAAGAAAAATGCTATGACAAGAATAAACAGCCCTAGTTCGGAGCCCATGCCCTGTTTGAGTTTGCAGTTGCCAGCTCGGCATTCAGCATCGGAAGCCAAGGCGAACATGTTTCGAAAGCAACAGCGAAGAGAACTATCACAGCATCTAGCGGGGTTTGTCCCCTTTTTGGCTCGGCTATGCTCGGCTGTACAAAGCAAGCCTGTGTAGTCTCCCGAAGTAGCACCCCCAACACCTGTGAGAACCTAGTACCACACATGCTTCGGGGTCCCCTTGTTCTGTTGGGAGCATATCCCCCATCACTGCCTACTGGGCGTCATCAGAATAGTACATCTCTCTTTCTTTCTTTCTTTCTTTCTGCAGGGCTTAGGGGTCAGCGTTGCCGACCCTCAGGCCTTTGGCCCGCCCCACCACCAATTGTTTTCATCTCTCTCTCTCTCTCTCTCTCCTTGCGTTGCTTTGCTAGGGGTGTGGGGCAACAGCATCTCTTCCGCGCAGTTAAGGGAAGACGCTTGGCCCTCCCCGCACGCGAGCGCGCACTGGTCACTTCGTCCGGCTCGTGCTTCCAGAACGATGAGGCCGACTCGTACATACCCCCTGAAAACCTACAAAACCCCGCGGCCTCATCTGCTTCGTGCTACGGCCACTACCGGCTCTGGTGTGCTTTCTGGCAGCCTGTTACTGCACGCACAACCTGCAAAGCTCTGTCCCCCTGTTGCACCACTCAACAAGTTGCAAGAAAGGCTCTCTAGTATAACTGGGCTCAGAGCTGGGGCAGACGACTCACGAAGCAGCATCCCCCTAAAAGCAACAGCTTGCTACGTGCAAGTGGACTGTGACTACTTCGTTCGCCCCCGGCAGCAAGCGGACTACCAGCACATGTCTATCTGATGCACCGGCGGTCGCAAATACACAACATGGACAACATGCAGGGGTCACTTGAACAGGTTCAGTGACAGTTCCCTTGCGGTGCCTCAACTGTACAAGCCTCTACGCCACAATGTGCTCTCGACCCCCAAAGACAACAGCATCTCCCTCTCTCTCCCTCTTTTCCTCTCTGTTTCTCGGCCGCCGATCCACAAGGTTATTGGTGCGTTGGCATATGTAAACTTTTCGGTCTAGCGAAGTTTAAGAATACGTCGACTCGAGAATGGAGTCTTGCATGAGGAAGACCGCCACCCCGGAAAGCTCCTCGATGAATTCAGCTTGCTACGAACAGCCAGCTAAGAATGACATAGTCTCAGAACTTGCGATGGAGGTGATGAAGTTGTCTACCAAAAGATCCATCGCTCTGTGAGGCTGTGAACCTAGACATCGACCATCAAGTCTTTGGGTCAGGTAGCTTTCTGCAACTTCCGAGGTTTGGGGCATGAAACTCTGCTCGTGAACGTGGCTTGGCCTGGTCGACCTCCGAAGCATGGAGCGGACGCGACGAGGTGGGATCGAAGTTCTCCTGGAGATGGCAGGCTTGTGAACGAGAAGCGCCAGAAACTCAGCGTTTCAGCGCGAAGCCCTGTGTAGAACTAGAGAAGGCTGTTTGCGGGTTGAAGCAGTCCGAGAGAGATTGACAGAATGATGGCACAGGCTATCTTTTCGTTATCTGTGGCCTATTCTAACCTGCAGATCCACTTTTGACCGCGGGCCGCAGGTGAGTAAACACGAGACACCTTGACAAGCCCCCACCGCGCGTCGGGTTGTATTTCGACGAGTACTAGCACGACATTACCTCTCATACTGCTGGCAGAGCAGGAGCAGGAAAAGGAGGAGGAGGAGTAGTAGTAGTATTCGCAGAAGAAGAAGTAGTAGTAGTCGTCGTAGT